CGACATATTTTTGTATTTTTTATTAATTTATCAAATAAACACGCACAGACAAATACAAATAATTATTCAAAATATCACAAAATATCACAAAATTGCACACCAAAGAAAAATCATTTTATTTTTGAATTTTTTGGGAGTAATTCTCATATAAGGCAAAAATCACGTGCTTACAGCCCCCACAAGTCATAGTAATCCCACAACTCTATCTCAAACTACAACAACTATTATCCCCAACAACTCTCCAGTTTCATCTCAAAGTTTGTCCCAAGATCCCGTAAATATCTCCAATTCCCCAGCTTCATCTCAATCTTCAAGTGATATGAAAATATCACCGTCCTCATTTTCCTTATCTCCATCTAATCTGCCACAAGATTCCAACATTAATTCTACCCCATCACAAGTTCAAAATTCTAGTCATGAGTCCAGCCCGTCTCCTACCTCTTCTTCACAACCAACAACCTCAATTCTTGCTAATTCTAACTGTCCGCATCACATGATTACACGATCTTTGACTGGCTCTCTTAAGCCTCGTATTCTCCCCTCTTTAGCTGCCTCTACAACATCTTCTTTGACAGAACCTCACACATTTGCTCAAGCAATTACACACACATACTGGCAATGTGCAATGAGTGATGAGTACACAACCCTTCTTCAAAATCACACATGGACTTTGGTCCCTCCTCCTCCCCAGGAAAATATTGTTGGTAGTAAATGGATATTTCGTATTAAATATAAACCTGATGGCTCTGTGGACAGGTTTAAGGCGTGCCTCGTTGCTCAAGATTTTTCACAACAACCGGGGCTAGATTATACTCAAACCTTTGCTCCTGTGATCAAGCTTAATACAATGCGCTTGGTTATCTCCTTGGCATTACAAAATAATTGGTGTATGCATCAACTTGATGTGTCTAATGCCTTTCTACATGGTGTGTTAGATGAAGATGTCTACATGCACCAACCTAAGGGCTTTGAGAACCCGGATTTTCCTCATCACGTGTACAAGCTTAATCGCGCTTTGTATGGCCTCAAACAGTCGCCGAGGCTTGGTTTAAGCGCCTTGAGACTTACTTGCTTGACATTGGGTTTAAACAATCTTCTGCCGACCATAGCATGTTTGTCTTCAAGTCCAATGATGCAATAATGATTCTGCTTATCTACGTGGATGACATAGCTGTATTTGGTTCTTCTAAGTCACTCATCGGTCAATTCATTTTTTCTATAAGATCTGAATTCTCAATGAAGGACTTAGGTCCTTTACATTATTTTCTTGGAGTGGAATTAGTCTCCAATTCTGATGGTCTTCTCTTGCTGCAGCAGAAATATATTAATGATATCCTCCTTCGGTTTGATTTGGCTAACTCTAAGCATGTTTCAACTCCATTACATAGCAAACAGGATTGGCATTCAACTTCTTCTTCTCTACTCTCTGATCCATCTATCTATCGACAAATGGTAGGTTGTCTTCAGTATCTTGCATTCACTAGACTCGATATTCATTTTGCAGTGAATTTGGCATCACAATTTCTTCATCAACCTCGTCAAAGCCATTTACAAGCTGTTAAATGCATTTATCGATACTTGAAAGGGACAAGTCACTTAGGATTACAACTTCATCGCAAATCATCTCATGTGCTAACCATTTACTCTAACTCAGATTGGGCTGGATGTACTGCTACTAGACGATCGACAATAGGGTTTTGTATTTTACTTGAAGACAATTTGATTTCTTGGGCTGCCAAGAAGCAGCCAACTGTAGCTCGATCAAACATAGAAGCAGAATATCGGGCTCTTGTCGTTGCCGCTGCAGAAGCGACATAGTTGCAATATCTTTTGCGTGATCTTGGTGTCTTCCTTGCATTTCCAATTATGGCCAAATGTGACAACATTGGTGCAATCCACCTTGCTCATAATCCAGTATTTCATTCTCGAACTAAGCATGTTGCACTAGACTATCACTTTATTCGGGAAAAGATGGCTCAAGGAGATCTTTTAGTATCTCATGTGCACACTTCTTGTCAATTAGCTGATTTATTTACAAAGGTTCTTTCGTCATCTAGATTTGCTCAATTAGTTTTCAATCTTCATGTACGTCCCTTCTCTTCAGATTGAGGGAGGGTGATAGAGATAAGTTTCAAGAGTTTGTGTTGTGTAGGAAATAGAGATAAGTACAAGAGTTTGTACTGTATAGGAAACTTGGTATTTGTATTTGTATAAATATGTGTAATGAGAAGCTAGACACAAGTTGGCCTATTCTTCAAACTAAATCTTCTCATCTATCTCTTTACTTCATCAATTTGGTTGCCAAGGTCAAGATAATTATCGTCTTAACCTACAAATATGAACAATCAAGGTTTACTAGATACAAGTGATTTTAAATACTTTTTTATTTTATAAGCTAAATAGAAATATGTGATTCAACTTATCTCATCAAATATTTCTTTGTAGATGATATTTCTGATGTATTTTTTTATTCATATTATATATCTGAGTTAGTTCACTCTTACTCCAATTACGGTAGTATCATTTTGGCTTACTGCATTATCGATAGTCATTGGTGGATTATCTTGGGTTGCTCTATGATTAGAAATTTCTATATTTATGAATTAACTATTGTTCTTCATTGGAAAGGATAACAACTCCTCGGTATATTGTAGGATGTAAATTTCTTTTTTATGGCTTTTCGACCAATCCTTTATAACATTTAAAACATATCAAAATTTGGTAGTTTGTTCCCACCATAATAGCATATGTAGATCTCAAGTGATCAAAACTAATATACATATCAAACATCCTTTCATGATCTTAATAGTAATTTTAATGTATTAGTAACCTAATTCTTATCTTACAATCTAAAAGATTATATTGTATATAATTTTATACATGCTACCAAATTGTATACAAACAAAGTGATTGTTTTATTTGATAAAAATAATAATAAACTTAACCTTTAAACAAATGTTATATATTTCGGATGCAAATAAAAAAATTTGAGATTATCACAAGATAAACATTTACGGTAACAATCATAGAAATTAAATTTCATGTATCACATTGGAAAGAAAATTAATAAATATTGAGTAAAGTAAAGAAAGTAAAACCTGATTTTATCGCCACTTCCTTCTCAATTCATCCATTGACGTGCTTTTCCTTAGAGAAATTCATTTTGAGTCCAAAACCACGCCATTGATTATATGTGGTTGGTGAATCTTCAAGTGCCTCCCTATTTTAAGATTCAATTGGTTTGTTTATTCAATTCAACATAAAGAACGGAAATACTGGAATTTTATCTTTTGATGATGTAATCTTGCTATAAACCATGGTAATCTCACATGAGTGAGCAAGTTTACTAATAGTAAAATGTCATCCTTTCGAAACGGTGGCTTCATCGAATATTCAAGCATGACTCTATCACTTTGTTATCAATGGCTAGATCCTTTTTCTTCTTCGATTAATGTTTATAACATGACAGCTTCACTTCCACGAACAAGAAAATCTATCCTATTATTTCCACGTGTGACTCCTAACATGGATAATTGTTAATTAAGTTATGCAATGGCTTTGATTATGCACTGGATAGTAGGTTCATATAGAGAATTTGTGATGACCCAAAAAGGTCATCTCTTGTTTTAAAAGTTAAATTTGTGTTTCGAGGCCTTAAAAACCTCTTTTGTCTCAGCTTGATTTACATACACATTCCGGGCGTATATCCGGAAAGCACTTATGTGAAAATTTGAGAAAAATGCTAATTTTACCTTAAAATTAAATTTAAGTTGACTTTGATCAATATTTTGGGTAAACAGACCCGGACCCGTGATTTGACGGTCCCCGAGGGTCCGTAGGAAAATATGAGAATTGGACGTATGTTTGGAATTGAATTCCGAGGTCCCTAGCCCGAGAAATGAATTTTTGAAAGAAATTGTTTAACTGAAAATATAAGAGTTTTGGGAAATTTAAAAATATTTGAATTTTGATGGTATCGGGCCCGTATTTTGGTTCCGGAGCCCGGTACAGGTTTAATATGGTATTTAGGTTGTGCCTGTAAAATTTGGTAAGAAACGGAATTCATATGACGTGAATCGGACCCTCAGTTGTGAAATGGAAATTTTAAAAGTTGAAGAGATTTTCCTTTGATTTTGATGCTAAACTCGTAGTTCCAGGTGTTATTTTGGCGATTTGATTGCACGAGCAAGTCCGTATGATGTTTTTAGGTTTGTGTGCATGTTTGGAGCCCTGAGGGCTCGGGTGAGTTTCGGATAGGTTTCAGGATGTTTTGGACTTAAAGATTTCTGCTGTCTTAGCTGCTGCAGGTGCACATGTGCTTTCTTCTTCGCGTTCGCGAAGGAACACTGCGAAGTGTAAAATTTGTCTGAAGGAAATTCCTTCTATGCGAACGCGGAGCCTTGGGGGCGTTACCCTTCGCGAACGCAACCTGGCTATCACGAACGCGAAGGCCATTATGGCAGGGACCTAGGGGAGGGGGAAAATACTCTACGCGAACGCGGCGGTTGGCTCGCGAACGCGAAGTTCAGGTGGGTGAACCTTCGCGAACGCGTACAGTATCTCGCGAATGCGAAGGCTCTTCTAGCCAATGCTTCGCAAACGCGAAGAAGGTTTGTCCAGCGATTAAAAACAAAAACTAGGTCAGGATTTCTTCAAAATTTCATATCCCCTTCCCTAAAATCCGACCATGGGCGATTTTTGAAGAGAAGTTTCAACATCAAATCATAGGTATGTGTTCTTGAACCCATTTCTTTCATTTTCCATCAACACCCATTAGATTTCTAGGCCTAAATCTCGTTCTTTAAGGGTAGAAATTAGTGATTTTAAGAGAATTGGGGATTTTACAAATTTGAAAATTTAGACCTCGATTTGGGGTCAAATTCCGAAACAAATTACATATTTGGGCGCGTGGGTGAATATGTGATTGGGTTTTGGTTCGAACCTCTAGTTTTGACCAAGCGGGACCGGGGTCGGGTTTTGATTTTTTTGGAAGAATGTTGGAAAATCTGTAATTTCTCATTTGAATTGGTTTCCTTGGCTTCAATTAATGTTAATAACTTAATATTGGCTAGATACAATTGAATTGGAAGTGGAATCAAAAGGGAAAGTGGTATTTGAGGCTTGAGTTTGGCCGTGAAATTCGATGTAAGTGTTTGGTCTAACCTTAACTTGAGGGAATAGGTGTTGTGTCTTAATTGCTATGTGTTAGTGTCGAGTACGATGTAGTGACGAGCATCTATACGTTGGTGTCAAGCATGCCCATGAGTCTTATATTAAGATTGTTGTGCTTTTATTATGTATTGTTCATGCTTAAAGTGATGATTAGCATTGTGGAACAAAACTTATGATGAATTCTTGGTAATTGACCATTGTCGAGTATTGGTTCAAGTTGAGGATTGTTTTGTGAAGTAACTGTTGAACTAGGTTAGTTATAGCTGATTCCCTTTCCGGGATGATATTGTTTTTATTGTTGACTCCCTTGTCGGGACAATATTATTTCTATTGATCTTTCTATTGTTGATTCCCTTACCAGGATGTTATCATTGTATTTGTTTGGGTGAGGAAGAGTGTAAAGCACGAAGGGTGATGTCTTGCATGATATTGTGAGTGACTGTTAATGCACGAAGGATGATGCCGTGCCGATATTGTGAGTGTTAATGCACGAAGGATGATGGCGTGCCATATTAATGAAATTAAAAGCACGAAGGGTGATGGCGTGCCATGATTATAAGAGAGTAAACGCACGAAGGGTGATGCCGTGCCGTTTCTGTGGATTTCTATGGTGAGAAAGAGAGTAAAAGCACGAAGGGTGATACCGTGCACTTGTTCTGTGTCATTATTTCCGTTGCTTCCAGTTTGATGCTTACTTTGTCGCTTCACTTTATTATTGTCATAACCTGATATCCCCCTCAGCACGTTTCCCCTTTTTTCGTCTTATTATGTTTCATTCTTGTTATTATTGCTTCTCGTATATGATGTAATTGCATATGTTTATGTGGTTGTCGCGTCCTAGCCTCGTCACTACTTCGGCGAGGTTAGGCTCGACACTAACTCAGTACATGGGGTCAGTTGTACTAATACTACACTCTGCACTCTTTTCTGCAGATCCCGGTACTGGACCCTACGGACCATAGGTCGAGGTTGCTGTCTTCAGTCCAGTGGAGACCCGAGGTAGTCCTGCAAGCGTCCGCAGGCCTTGGCGTCCCCTTCTATCATATTTTCCTCTATTTTATCTATTTTTGAGACAGATTTGTATTTTCTTGTTCAGACCACTGTTTGTAGTATTCGTAGACCGTCCATGAAATTGTGACACCAGATTCGTGGGTAGACATGAATTGGATTATTTGAATTTGTTATAACTCTTCCGCACTTTTCATCTGTTTAGTTTTAGTTGCCGTTTATATCTGTTTGGGTTGATTGTTAATGAGTAGAACCTTAATACTTAGCTTGCTTAGCTTTCACGAGTAGGCACCATCATAACTTTCGAGGATGGAAAATCCGGGTCGTGACAGAATTACGAATCTGGATTTCGGAGCAAAATACTTGCAATTTATGTTATATATGTTCTGCAGCGTTTGTGAACCATCACGACAAATTTTGTGGCTCTTCGAAATTTTATTGTTATGAATAACCACCTCTTTTTTTATTAGTAAAATATTTAAAATCAATAGTAGAAGGTTATTTTGTAATTTAATTTTTAACTTTTAGGGTTCCCACCTTTAATATAATATAGATAGATATAGATATAGATATGGATTCTAATGTAACTTTTCTTGTATTTACTTTATTATAAGTGACATGATTGTGCAAAATATTTTATTTATCTCCGGTGCATAGATGCTTGTAACTAATATATGTGCTGAAATCTTCAGAACTCTTATTTACATGTAAAATTAAAAAATTCCGTAGAATTTCCTTTTCTGAAAGTTAAAGAGAAAACCTTAATCTACATATTTAAATATTCAATTGTTGGCTAGATTTTTGTAGTCTCAAAGTGCCTCATATTTACAACAGCAGCCGAATTTTCAAGCTTGGGACTTTCCTGTATTTTGTCCTCTGGAAAAGCTTGTTGTTGCACTATTAAGACTGATACCTCATAATTTGTGTCGGAAGAAGCCAACATGTCTCCTATAAACCCTAATTCTGGAAACTCACTCCATTCTCTTAGTCCTCCTAACAATGCCGAGTTACTATCATGGTGTCTCCCTACTATGATCAAGTCAAAACAATTTTCCATCTTCCTAATTACACTAACAACTCCTACACTATCTTTTACCTCTTCTTCTTCGTAAATGCATAATTTCTTGTTCATGTTAGCTTCTCTAAATGCATTGATGGCTTCTGCATCTTTTACCATATCTTGTGTGTTGTTGAACTTGTCCAATTTCTTAGGTTCTATTAACCGGACAACTGTTACTCCCACGTTGGGATGTATAGCCATCCGATTAGCATAGGCTAATGCTTCTCGATCGTCCTGCCCGCCTATCAAAAGAACACCAATGCTATAGATATTTGTCATTGTTGATAGAGGTGTGTTTTTGCTGCTAGTGCTGCGATCAATGAATACACCGACAGAACATGGTGCCGTTGTTAGAATCTTACGGTTCACATTCCTAATGCAATTTTCCTCTACATCTGAAGTGTGGATAGCCCAGTGTTTATGAAAGGGTAAAACAACAAAGGCGGCTCTTTTGTCCATAGCTAGGTGACAGACATCATTGTGCATTGTTGCATAGGGAGAAATGGCAGAAAAGGGGTAAAATGTGATGTTTCCGTGACTTTGCTTCTCGTATAAACTCAGAGCATTTATGATGTGATCTGATTCTTGAAGTGTAGTTTCTTTCTTTCCACGGTGATGAGCCACTATTGTTGGTGTAGCTCTGCCTCTGAGGTCAATTAAATGGACGACATAGAAGCAAACAGGGTTATGTGGATTCGGGTACGTGGCCTCGAGTAGCTTGATGATTGAAGGTGTATGTTCTTGATGATGAAGGCAAGCGAGCAATCGGAGTTCATCTGTGAGTTTTGTATCTTCCATTGTCCTCCTCTTGCATGTGGTGTACATTCTTGATGGATTATACATATATTTTATGACGGGGGTNATCGGAGTTCATCTGTGAGTTTTGTATCTTCCATTGTCCTCCTCTTGCATGTGGTGTACATTCTGGATGGATTATACATATATTTTATGACTGGGGAAAAAACTCCAGCAAAGATGATAATGGACAACAACATAATTGTATATGATTCATGATCAATTAG